GGTCATATCTAAAAGCTAAGTAAAGCGGGGAACCGAAATGCCGTCAAGCAAGCGACGGAATATGCGATTACGAACCAGTTTACCGTAACTGAGACAGTCATAAGCAGTCCCTGGGTAAGGCATGATAGCGCGAAACGGCTTGGCGCAGACCACCTTCTGTTGTGAGGCTGGACGCCTACCAGAAAGAAGGGGACTAAGAACATGCCAAAGAAAAGCACCTGGAAAATTAGCTCTGTTTAAACGGCAAAGCGCAGGTAAAAGAGTTCGGCTGTTTTGACGGTGGAGGGCCTGAGCGTAGCTGTAGTTCAAAGGGGAGTCGAAAGACATGCCAAGCGTAGTATTAATGAAGGTATGATTAATAACCTTAGGTGTGCGGCGCTTTCGCCCGTGTTCATGATAGAACCGAGGAAGCCGTACAAAGAAGTAAGGAATAATTTTACTACTGTAAGTGGCATCCTGAGTAACTACCCAAAATCCTTAACCAAAAGGATAGGTAGTCTGAAGTAGACAAATCCAAAAGAATCCCGCATCAGCCAGTCGATGCGCGTCGTCCACAATCTCAAGGACCTGAAAGGATATATCAGACACCGAGTGCCCGTGTGTACGGAAATGTTCATAAAGGACACTGTCAGTAGTATCACGGGAGAACTGCGTATATGCTCTGGCGCTCTAACTCGTAAACATTGCTTAGTCTGGCCAACTTACTGTAGCCTGCAGCGCTTGTAGGTAATGCAATATACAATACTACGTGTCCAACAGGTGGGCACATTGCGAGGTGCAGAGTATGACGCGACAAAGCATTTATCTGAAATGAAACCACAGACATGAGGATAATCAGGGCACAGCATTCGCAGTTGCGTCCGCAAGGCACCGTGTGAGGAAGCAAGTTGGTAAGGCGGAAAGAGATCTCATAGGAGGTGTCTGAATAGGCCACGTAGTAAGTATTGGGAAAGGTGCGCGCCGGGGACGCCGACGCTTGCTAGTTCTCAGGCGGCCAACCACCTATAGCTAAAAGGCTCGAGCCGGACGCAAGCAGTCGCCTATCCGACCGGCCTGAAACACCCCGAAATGTGCGTGAATTCATGAAGTTACGGGGTATCTTCATGGTGATTAACGCGCTTTGCATAATGTGCCCCAGACGTATACCGCAGAAGGCGGTACGGCGGTAAGGAGAAATTAGCAAAAGGATATGGTAGCTACGAGCCTGATAAAGAAGTGGCCTAAAGGTCGAGGTGGACCAGCGGGTTACAACACAGCCCAGGCTGTAACACCCCAGGGTCCCCGGTGTGATCATGCGTTTTGCACTAAACTCGCAGGTTGCTATTAGCAGGAATGATCCCCACGTTGTAGCCTAGCACTTGGGCTCATATTGATCGTGCTTTGATCCTTTCCGACATGTAGGAGGAGGGGCGTCAGTTGGGAAGGTGGTGAATCATAGAGCCGCGCGGACATCCAAGTGCATGATTACCGCTTTTTTGCATGAAGTCCGGTCGTTTTTTTGGTAAATGCTCGCTTTGTGAAAACATGACAAACGCAAATTTCAGTCACTGTTTTCAGACAATTTTTCGAGTTAGCATAGCACCAAGTCGAAAACTTTGGTGTGGTCATACGTGCCGCACACGAGTGCGCAGCAGCTGAG